TTTTTTCACATTTGATAAAAATTACTAGGAAAAACAAATAAAAATAAAAAAATATTAAAAATTACTAGGATCAAAATTACAAGAAAAAAACTAGCAATTGATTATACGAAACTGATTAGTGGCTGCATAGTACTTTCTACTGCCATTACGTAGAGAATTTACCCGCTCGAAATTATGCGTATTTCCTTCATCTTGATCTCGACTCTATGAAAAAATTTTACCGAATAACTAGACCATGGTACATAGTTGGGATTTCCCACTTAAATTTTTCACACTTTATTGAACGTAGTACATAGTTTAATATAATTATATTGGAATGTAAAAATTTTATATGAAATATCTGCACTCTTTAAGAAGCAAGACTGCAATTTAAGAATTTATGGCACCCCCGTGCATTTCAAGTGTGCTTGGCCTGTCCATTTACGCAGAAATTTACAAGTTGACACTGACGCGTAAAAATTTCATGACCTCGCTGCACGGCATTCATAAAGAAATTAAACGCCAAGGGCATGTGGGGCAAATGGTAGATAGTGAAAGAGACAGAGACAGAGAGAGAGAGAGAGAGAGAAGTGATGATAATGTGTACACGCAACTCAGCGGAACAGGTGTCAATGTGGCCTCAGCTGCCTTGCTGGCTTTCATAGATTGTCCAAAAATGGTGAAAGCATCATAAAAATGTGTCTGTAAAAAATGTAACGAATTCTTAAATTATGCGAATATTGTTTGCAACTTAATAAAAGTGATAGCTGTTACCCGGTGCCGCATGGCTGATGGTGAAAATTAAAAGTGGAATGGAGATTGAAAGTGAAAAGGGGAATTATGTACATACATACATACATACAAACACCTATGCCTGTTACGATGGATATCTCACTGCCTACGCTTGAAGTGATTTATGCAACTATGTTGTAAAGTTTGTTCATTTTTTCTGGGAATTCATGCGTGTGTTTGAGTGCTCGGGACACCAACATTCCGTTCAAGGGGGAAAAAAACAACTTATGTTCTGCTATAAAGTGCAAATGGCGCCCAAGGGAATCATCAAAATATACAACAACCGTGTAAAAAGAAAATACAGAAAGTCTGTGTACGAATAGCAAAGATATAAGCGAACCAGCAGACTATGAACGACTAAGCTAAAAACAAAAAATTAACTTTGTAACAAAATGCAGGTGAAGAGGTGAAACAGCAAACAGCAGAAAGAGAGGATGGGTAAAAAAAGTTCAAATACACCGTTGAAAAGTTATCGTCGCACTCGCCGGATATCATTGCGCTGACCGGTCGGTAACTCTCTACCCGCAAAGTAACTGCCATCAGCCTTTGCGAAATGGATTTTTTGGCGGAGAAATAGTATGATGCCATCACGTGGTCAACAGCTGCACAAACAGCATCTGAGCAATATGGCCAATAAAGTGTTGGACTAACTGCCACTTGTCAAGCACTCGGCAGCGGGCGATTGTTTTGGGTTGGAACGACAGCTGGGGTCAGTTGAGATGGCTAGTAAGTTACATAACTGTATGAAAATATTTTTTTTTGCAGTTTCTAGCTACGCGGTGAATTAGTTGTTTGTCGTAAATGCTCTTACGTTTAGGTAGTTAGCTGCAATTTTGACGGTTTTTTTGCTCACAGTCGACTAGCGCTAGCGCGACACTTAATCCCTTTGCCGGTATTTATGTAAATTTCAGAGCGAACTTGTATGCTTCAGCTAGGGACCAATGTTTTTTTCTTTTGTTATTTTTCTTATTGTCTGTCTACCCAGAAGGCGTAGAGCAACCCCCGGTATAATTGTTGTAAACGTAAATGTCAAGCATTTAAAAAAAATTAAAATACTTTCGTAAAAATTTAGAGCTTTCTTAATATGTGTTGCTCATTTTCCTGCTTATAAGCAAATTGTCGAACATACTTAAATGCAGGAAAGAGAATGCGCAACAAAGTCAGCAAAAAAAAATACAAAAAATCAACAGCAAGCCACAGTATACAGTAAACCAACCATTGACAATATGCTTATTTGAAAATTAATACATGAAATATTGTGCATGTATAGGATTATTTTGTCATTAACCCATAGGCAATGACTGGTGCAAAAGTACCCCCAAATGTTTGTTGATATATTTGAAATGTAAATTTTAACAGTGAAATTCGTAAACAAAAAATAATAAAACAAAAATATTGTTGATAGGAGGTGGTCGTGGTTATAGACAGATTTCACCAAAATTTAATACTATCCTAAATTATACCAAAGGCAACTTCGGGACCGACTTTCGTTAAAATATCTAAATTTTGTTCGAGTTAGCGTGTTTACAAACAGATACAACTGAACCAATTCATTTCGTCATTGTATGTAATAATATGTATATATACATTTTATACCGTTGAAAAACGGCCTTGCTTATCTGCATAAACCTTTCCTGCATTAGTTCGTCGATATATAACTTTGGGTACATGTTTCGTAAAAACTTTGGAGATATCCACTATAAGAGTGGTATATTTTTAAATTAGAGAGTTCTACCTTTAAGCTAAGTAATACTTGTTTTACTCCCTAATTTATGGGTCCATTTTCCAAAATCAGCCCATCATTATTGACTCAAAGTTGTGTTTGGAACCAGATATGACTTATGTAGGAACTGCATCCGGTTATAATCGCTTACGCTGCAAGCCTGATTTGCTAAGAATTTTGTTTTTCTCGTTGTTTTATTTAAAATGACTTGGAAATATTTGCCACTATAAGAAAATATTGAAATTGGATTTCATTTGGGTTAAAGAAAACGACAGCTGTGAAAAAATATCAACCAATACATTCAAATAAATTGTCAAATAAGCATACTTACATTTTTTGTTTTGCCTATCAGGATTACTGTATACTGTGCAGGAAGCTACTTCAAGCTTACACCTTATTTTACTAAAATGAAATGGCTCGAAAATTTCAGAAAAGTTTGTTGAATTTTTCTCTTGGATTTAAACGGATTATGTTAAAGAATAAACTATATTTTTATTAAATAAAAAATAATTGTTAAAACTTGTCAACATGTGTATGCGCGATATTTATGGTCTAGTGTTCTAGTTCTAAATAAAAAGTGTTCTCAGTGTTCTCAAAAGAAACGTTTGCTTTAGTAATGACTTCATCATTTGACACAAACTTACTTAAGTGATCGATAACGAAAAATAAGTTTTATAGATAATGAATAAGAGTATAAATATCGATAACTTCATCGATAACTAAATCTAGAGATACATATTTATCGATACATATATATCGATAATAATGCCGATCACTTGAAGAAAACTGTATGAAAATGAGCATAACCTATAAACATTTTGGTGAAGGTTCGAAAATGACCTTCCAATCTGCATATCGAACTGAGAACGAACTCATAATGAACCTTAGTTTTCCAACGTGCATAGTATATTGGAAATATACTCGACATGGGTTCGAATGAAAATCATAGTAATAAGAGAGAAAGTGAAATCCAGCTCATTCTCGAAGAGAAAAATAAGACAATCACTCTCTATCATTAAAATTTCAATTCGCTAATACTGAACGTCGAATTGATAACGAAGAGAATATACATTAGATAACGAAGGTTCCGTTTTGCTGGAGAATAGCCCAGTTCTCGAATCGAATACTAACCTAAGTATTCCACATTAGACTTGAGAAAAAGATACATATGTTTCCCAATCATTTTCGAATTATTAACCAAGCCCAATGTTTATTTGGTAACCAGAAATTTCAACAAATATGTATATTGACAGTCTTATCGACAAATATATGGATAGAGTTTGATAAGCAAATCACTTGCAAAGTCTTGTTTAAAAAAAAAGTAGATGCCGAAAACACCTATTAATTCTACAGAACAGTTCCTCAAATAAGCGGGTTGACTGTTTCAAAAGATCTAACATTAATGCAGGAGCTCTGACTGTGGCAAATTGTTCACAGCTGCTGTTCGCATTCTTCAACTGGCACACATACATATGTACTTAAGTATCTACGCGCTTCCATTTGCTTCGGTGTGACCTGCATACTAATAGACATTCAAGACTGCTAGTAAACCTACCAACTTCCATCATTTACGCACTCAACCATGCGACGTTTGATGTCCAGAGCGCAGTGCGTAATATAAGGCTATGACAGAGAGTACTGAACGTTAGCAAGCTAACAAAATTTATGTGTAAAACGCAGACTTGAGCTTTCACACCAGCCACACAAAACAAACAACCTAATTTAATCCAAAGAAAACTAAAGAAAAAGCAACAAAAAAAAAGAACAACAAACAAATAGTACTTTATCGCTACGTGCTGTGGCTCTACCAACTTTTATCACCACCCTACTGAACCGACTTTAGTAATTTATCATTTGCGCTCGAGCCGCAGCCCAACAGCAGCAGTAGCAGCAGAAAAAAAAAACAAAATGCAAAAAGTAAAAAATGGCATATTGTAAGAACATTCTCAAACACTTACCCACTATATTCAGATAGACGGAATGCCCGATCGGTGGTGTTGTTGATATCTGACACTCATATATGCCCGAATCTTTGCGTTGTGCATAGCGTATACGTAACGTCCAATCCTCGGCGTGCGGCGAATGCATCGCTTCGAAGCGTTGATCCGATGTGTAGGTGTAACGACCAACTGTCAGCAGGTGAATGTCACGATGACGTACCCAGGAGACCTAAAAATGGTGAAAGCAAAAGAAAAAGGAAAATTAGTTAGGAAAGCTAACTGGTTGGTTGAGTTGAGTTCAGTTTACGAAAGCAACAACTGTTGTAGAGTGGTTGAGGAAGAAACATGCAAATGCATGTTAGTGTGGTACGGCAGGCGTATGCACGTAAAGAGATAAGATTAAAAGCATTCGTAATGGGATTGACTGTTAGGAAAGCACCGTCACGATTACAGACGTAGAAGTAGTTTAGTGTATGTGTATATGAAACATGTGTGTGAGTGTGTGTGCGCGCGTCTTGATGTGCATTCCATGTTAATTTTCTACACTGCTCTTTTGACTATTACGTGTCTATCTCATTCACGTTATTTGAGCACTCAAAGTTAGACAAATTCCCCTGTAGAAAAAAATTATCAATTGATAAAAAATAACCTACTTTTAGTTAGCTTTTTTGCGGGATTTCTATAACATATATATAATTTCTAGTTAGCTACAAAAAGCTAACTTGAAACAAGTGGACAAGTATGCAGGAGAAAAGCTCGAGATTGTTTTCTGTAAACGCGTTTATATTTAAATATCCTGCACTTCGCAAATACTTTTTCGAATTGAGGACAAATAAAAGGAAGATCGAAATTTCATATTATCATTTTGAAGTTATGTCTGACGGAGTTCGAATATGGGACCACCTACAGCAGAATATAGAAACAAATGTAAAATGTTATAAAATAAATAAAGTAAATAAAAATAAAAAAATTAAATAAAAATATTTTGTTTTCCTATTGATATTTTATGTCCAAAAGTAGTTAGTTACAAGTTAGTTGCATCAAATGCAGAGGTAACTACCCTTGGCTATTTTGCGGCCATCGCCATAGAAATATAGCTAGGTTTCGCCAAAGAAAATATACAGATAATAAGTGACTTATAGCTCCTTCCTAATCAACTTAAAGTTAGCTTATAGTTAGATACATTTCCTGCAGGGTCATAGCTGAATACATACACATATTTTAACACTGCGTTGTACTTCTGTACGCGTGTGTTTCTGCTTGGTATTTACATGTCCCTGTGACATATAGCAGAGAGAATAGATAGGCGGCATTTTTCTCTTGAGCGATTCAATATTCTTATGGCATGTGGGTTAGGAAATATTTTAAGTAGTTGATTATAATTTGCAGATAATTTGTATCGAACATATTATTTAAGGAGTTTGGGGTAAATGGGAAATATATTGTAGATGGGGAAGAATTTTTGTGGAATATACATACACATTAACCATCTACCTTCTCAGTACATGGACTTTTTAGTATATTTTGGTGAACAAATATACTCGTTAACTTCAAAGGAAAATATCTCATAAATAAGAAAAGCAGTGTTGTCTTAATAGCTTAATTTTTGAATCAATTAGTAAGATTAAAGTTAATCATGATTAAGTTAATTGTGATTAAAAAAGTAATAAGAATCGTGAAAATAATTTTAAATAATTGATTCTAAATTTTATTAAGCAGATTTTGTGATTAACTAATGTATGTATATGTTGAATTTGCTTTGCGCACTCATGTAGTACATATAGTTATTTATTTACTTATCTATTTCAAATTTAACCTACTGGGCTTAGCCCTCACAGGCTTCGATGGTACATAATTAAACATAATAACATTAAGGTATAAATTTATAAGAATTAAGGGTACGAAACAAATTTAATTCATAAAATAATATTTTAAGTAAGAGAGTCACTCTGGTCAAGCCGATATCAACTTGCGAAGATATAACATATAAGCTTGTTAACAGCATTCCCAAAAAATTCTAAAAATTCTGGTTCAAAAGCTCAAATTTAGATAAAAATGTGTGGAATTTTCCTAAGTTCTGTATAAAGTTTGAAAGTGTGATTTATATAGTTTTTGTTAAAGAATGCATCATATTTTTATAAAAAAATTTTGCTTGAAAAAAATTGTAAATATTAAAAACGAAACACCATTCATCTATTTGTGGCCGCCACTGTATATGTACTATATGTACTACATGAGTGCGCGCGAAAAAAGTGTAACATAGAAAGAATAAAATACTAATTAAGCCGTGAATCCAAATTATACGAATTTGTTTTTTATTATACATATTTACTTTATTTCATATAATTTTATAAATAAAAAAATTAAGTTTTTAGCTTACAGGTAGGGAATTTTTTGAAAATTTTCAGGAATTTATGGTGCTCTCATGAATGGGTTTGGAAGCTGTAGTGCACTTAAATGAAAATATCTTATGCCAAGGCGCATTGAAGAGGTAGTATCAGTCTAGCAGCTGATTTTAAATTTTTTTTTAATTTGTTGGTCTCGAAAATGTCAAATATATTTAATTTCTTGTCACAAAAATTACAAATTGTTAAAATCTACCTTTTTCCATACAAAACAAGCGATTGAATAGCAACTTTTGGAACGCTCGCCCAACTCAGCAGCGCAACCGCTGATTACTGCGCCTTGCAAAGCATGGATCAATGCTTCGAGAAGCAAATAAATTTAATAAGAAAGAAAGTTGCAACAATTTTCATTTTTCCAATTTAAATTTTTTATTTTTTATATGTTTTTTTTTTGGTATTTCACATGGCACGCTTTGATTTAGAAGAAAAAAATTGGAACAGTTTTTGACACTTTCGATACCAGAAGCAACAACAAAATACACGCGGATGTTGTTTTTGCTCTAATGCTACTACCTGTTTGATATGACTTGCCTTATTCCCTTCGATACACCTGTCGTTACCACTAGTTTTCGTTTAATTTGAACCCAATAGCATCCCACTGGCCTTAACTCTGTGCTATTAGTAGGAGTAGCCCCTTTATATATAGTATAATATTTATTTTATTGTTGGATCAGAAAGTTTAATATTTTATAAATGTTTATAAAATTATTTCCGATACCTTTAAAACTCTTCTTTTAAAAATGACACCACATAACAGCGTGTGACAATCAATTTAAACTACACAAAAATTAATGTACTCACGAAATTCGAAGCCAAATATGGTAAACTGCGTTTTTAGTCTCTTTCTGATATAAAGATTTTTTTTAAGGACTTTGAAATATCAAGGATATGCTAAATTCGAAATTTATAAAAAAAAATCAGTTTAATGGAGAATAGCAAGAGAAAACTCTTTCAAATTTAAATAAAATCAAATGTTTTGGTGTACAAGGACGAAAGGATATTGAAATTGTCCTTTTAACTTTATTGTTTTAGGATAAAAAAAATACTTAAAAGGACATTTTCAACACCTATGCGTCCTTGTGCACTGAAAAAAATTTAATGTTTTTGAATTCTACGACTTTTGTGATTGGAAAACAAGTTGCGATTTTGTGACGCACATATTCTCACTTAGACGTTCGGTAAATGCTAAACGATGAATAAAAGTTAATTTTTTCTCCTTAACTTTAATTTTTAACCAAATTATTATTTTTTAATAAATATCTAAAAATGTACATACAAGTACAATAGTAAGCGTAACCGTGTTTTGTTCATATGTTTAAATGAGTCTCCCTAAAAACTAACAAATGTAGACTTCCGACCGTCTACGCGAGATTGCAATCCCGATCATATGAAAGTTAAATATCTGAAACCGAAAATAAATAATAGAAAAACGATTGCGTTCTGGGAGCCCCTATTTCGTATCTCTTAAAATGGTAGCCCTTTCCACCCTTATTTTTTATTTCTTTTAATTGGTTTGGAATTGTAGAGCTAAAAAAACCCACTGATTTAGTTTCCCTCTAAAAAGGTCAAAATTTAAATAGAACAATAAAGAATAAAGACATAGATAAATTTTAAATTTGCGCTAGATACACACCCAAACGTCGACTGCGATTTTGTCTTTTATTTGGATTTCGTAGCCTTGGAAGCATACATACATGCGTCCTCGTCTGCCTTCGTATTGTCGAGCTTCTGGAAGAAATTTGTTTGGCTTTGGGTGCTTAACAAACACACCTTATCTACTGGCTTCTTAAATGCTTTTAATAAGAATCGTTCCCATACTGTCTACATATCGACGACCGAAGTATTGCATTCCCAAGGCTGATTTTTATTTTTTAAATTTTACTTTACTTATTTTCCTTCTTTCGTTCCGCATTTCCTTTGTACCAAATTTGAAATAAGTTTGTTTTAAGCCCCGCTGTGAGAATGGATGTCTAATTATGTGGTTCAAAAAGCCTCGTGAATTTAAGCTACAACAAATATTTCTCCGCGTATTGATATGTACCTACAGCTTAAATTTAAGACTCTTTTTAGAACGATACAAAGTTAAGGCGCTTTCGTTTTTTCAAGGCGATAATTTTTCAGTTGCGAATTTGTGTAAGATTTTTGTAATCTATGAGATTAAAACTTTTTTCTACAAATGTACTTTTAATACAAATCCCTTGGCTAACAGTGAATTGTTTCCATTATTTTTAGACTTCTGTCTTCAAAATAATTTCCGTGAATTTGTGAACTTTTAGGTTTTCATTTTGTATTAGCTAGCGGTACTGGTATCTTTAGTTTGCTTCTTAAATAAACACTGCGGCATTTGTGTAGCCGGGCGAGTTAGTTTTTTATTTTTTTCACTTTAAATATATCGGATTTTTTTTATTCTTTTATTCTCATTGAAACATACATACTTAGTCCTTTTTTTGTCATTTGGCGGGTGGCCAACATTTTCGCTCGTTGTTCGTTGTAGCGCCTGAACGCCTAAATGCACACATGTTGCCATTTATTTGGCGTCAGTCGCTGTCGTTTTATTTCTTCCCATCTCCTCTCGCTCTCTAAACTACGTTGTTGATGTTACTTTCTCTATCATTTTTGCCATTCTAGCCGTCTGACTGTTGTATTTTTTATTGAAATTCCTCACCCTAAACTTCCTATTTGGCTCTTCTTGGGCTGACTGGCTGGTATTTCGACTACATACATATGTACATGCCTAATCACTGCTGATGATCATAATTATGCTTAATTGCGCAATTACTGACAATAACTGTTGTAATCTCCGCTAACACATTGTATACTCAAA